CATCACAGTATGGCGTGGTCACTTCGAAGAAGTTTGCAGGGTATGATATCTCTCTTTGATGACATAAAACAGTTAACTTATAATCAGGTGACGTATAACCGGTACAATCGGGGAAATCTACGGTGGTCCACTTACAGAAATATTGCAATGCGTGAAATGAAAAATGAAAAAACAAAGTATAACCCATGTTATTCAGTGATAAAATAGCTTTAAAATGGTGCAAGATTTTTTGATATCGGTTAGTAGTTTTTGAGTTATTTCAATACATACAAAAATACAAATCTTTGCTCTAAAGCAATTAGCCGCTTACTTCTAAGTAAACTTTTTTCGGAGACGCATTTAAAAGCATCCTATTGGTTATTGTTACGAGTCATCTTGACGCGTCTAAAACAAGCGACTGTAGTTTTAAAAGTGGAACACAGTCAGATTCCCCGACTGTACATATAAAGAGATTGCTATTCATTTATACGTTATGATTTTTTTTTTTCATACACAAGTTTAATTTACGGTGGATACGAAATAATGAAAACCATTTAGGCTTGAAGGGAACAATGATTTGTTTTTTATTATAATTAAAAAGACCTTTAAATGGTTAAACAAAAGAAGTTTGCAATAAAATAAATGGCATCATGATCTTTACAATGAATTTACTCTTAACTAGCTGTCGCTTGCGACTTGATCCGCGTGAAATAAAAAAATATAGCCTATGTTACTCACAGATAAATTACCTTTCTAACGGTGAAAGAATTTTTAAAATCGGCTCAGTAGTTTTTAAGTTACTTCAATACATACAAAAATACAAATCTTTCCTCTTTATTTTATTAGTATAGATTTAATATTTAAAAATGTAAACGACCAATATATTACGATATAGTGCAATTTACCGTTTTATAATCTACAATACTGAATTTTACTATAACGACATTTTTTTTTATTTTATTGACGGAAGTCAAAATACTGACAAAAAAAATACAGAGTATTTGTGTTACATAAAAATGTCTAAAATTATTAGTGAAACTAGTGTTATAAACTCATATGAAAACGTAAGTCATATTATTTTATGTTCTTAAATGTGAATTAACTTATGTGCAACTTAATGTTTTCGCTTAAATAACATACAATATGAAGTTACAGCTTTCGCTTTACTGTTGTGCACTAAAATATTATTTATAATACTTAAAATATAACCCAAATGTGGCCACAGAAGGCTTAAGGCCATTGTGAAGTAAAGAATAAGACCCGTTAGATCGTGATGTTTGACTGAACTACCGCATAGCTGTTTAGTCGCACTTTGATACCTAAGAACTTAGGCAACTAAACAGTTGAGTTGGTTGCGAAACAATCGAACATCGCACAACAGTTATGCGATAGTTTAGTCAAAGTTGTGTGTCTCTTAGTCTATGCTTTAAAGGAAGAAATTTCTCGATAGAAAAATCAATCGTTTCTAACATTTTCTTATAATTTTAAAGACTGCATTTAAAGCTTGGAGAAAAATTTATAATAACTAAGTCTTTTAAGGTTTGTGAATAAAAATGTCAATATTTACATAAATATGTGAAACTTATTTATTTCATTCTTTGATGATAGTTGGCGCATTTAGGGTTGTACATTTTCCGAGAGTTTAAAAAAATCATATAATTAATTTTTAACTCACTTTATTTTTACTACATTAGATTTAGTCCTCGACTTGGTCCGCGGAATTACAATTATAAATAGGCTATGTGTTTTTCCGTACTATGATACATCTTTGAGTTTAATCCGAATCCATTAAACCTTTAGATACGTAAAACAATCCTTCATTAAAATTTTACCGTTTATAATGTTAGCATGGCTTATAAAATTTACACAACCCTGACTCTTTTCCTATTAAGATGTTACTAGGTGTTACTCGCGCCATCGTCCACGTGGAAAAAAATTGAAAAGAGTTATAGCCTATATTACAGAGTGGTAACGTAGCTTTTTAACGGTGAAACAATTTTTAAATCGGCCCAGTAGTTTTTGAGTTATTTCAATAGATACAAAAATACAAATCTTTCCCCATTGTAATATTATAAATATACATTATATAAATATATTAAACGATGTTATGTTTTATTTATTATTATATTTATATAAATAATTTAAAAAAAATGTGTCTGCTTCTACACAAAATGCTATACTACGAACTCTTATTAATCTCTGTATATCGCAAGCAAAACTGTGTGTACTAATTATGTGTGCTTTTCTAATAAAATTAAACTAAACAATGTTTTCACATTTCAGATACAGATGGCGCCGTGGGTTCACGCGTTATCCCTCGACGGTTATTTCATAACGTATTTCGGTTTTCGTGTTTTATTCGTGCATCTGATACCGTGCACATCACTAGTTGTACTCAACGTTCTGTTATTCAGAGCTATGAAAGCAGCTCAGATAAACAGACAGAAACTATTTAAAGAGAATAGAAAATCCGAATGTAAAAGATTAAGAGATTCCAACTGTACAACGCTTATGTTAATCGTTGTTGTAACGGTTTTTCTTTTAGTCGAGATACCAGTTGCCGTGGTAACCGTTTTACATATTATATCTAGCACTATAGTTGATTTCTTAGATTACCATATCGCTAATATTCTAATTTTAATTACTAATTTCTTTATCATTGTCTCTTATCCTATTAATTTTGCGATTTATTGTGGTATGTCTCGACAATTTCGAGAGACGTTTAAAGAGCTTTTCATAAGAGGTACAGTTACTAGTAGAAATGGCGGTTCCAGTAGATACTCTTTAGTTAATGGACCTCGAACCTGTACTAACGAGACTGTTCTTTAATTGACATTATAAATTATTTCTTAATGCTAAAAGGGTTAGTCTATTTCTAGTAAAATATAACCTCAAAGAAGTAACAGATGTCCATATATTGAATTATATGTCCATATCGAATATTCTTATATTCTTTAGTTATGTATAATTGCACCGAAAAAAATTATACACAGTTTTTTTTTTAAAGGGGGTTTTGTCGAAGCGACGATAACGCCCCATAAGTCTAAACCAAACAAAACTTAGTTATCCAACTGCTTTCTTAAACAGATGTCGGCCAACTTAAACCATCCCGACCTCGTCCGTAGACGGATAAGCCAAGATAGTGTTTAAGCGACCGACATCGTTCATAACCTTTAAAATAATTGAATCTAAACGCTCGTTCGAACACACTCCAATACAACAGGCTTAACAAATTCAATTACTCTACACTCAGTGCAATTGGGTGAATTAACTTTTTTTTTTAGCCATCCAAACTTGTTACTTGGATTGTGTCCGGAGCGTAACCTCATCGCCGTCCTTATGTATGACGTAGACCAGTGATTCTCAACCACTGTGCGGCACTTTTGTGTGCCTCCAAATTTTGCATATTTTTGTCATAAACTATTTATGCAGTGTTGTAGTAAGTAAATAATTATTATCTTTTTTATGTGTGCCGCCAAATTTTGAAATCGTTAATTTTGTCGCAACAAAAAAAAAGGTTGAGAATCACTGACATTTGGACTTTATCAATTATACACACAGCTGTACTAAAGTTAGTAATTTTTAAGTTACATGTTTATTTTTTTTTAATGATTTTAACACTTTTCTTTCTGATTATACTGAAATGTTGACATGAGAGTGTTAAATTTTTCAAAGTGGGACATTTGGACATTACTAACACCTAGCGGTTATAGTTTAAAGGGAATTGATGGACTAATCCATAACAATTAGACCTCTGTTATCAATTATAAGAGATGTCTTCATGTTACCTTGTAACGTAGTATTTACACAAAATATTTATTATAGTAGACATATCATTTTTTTTAATATTATGTGATTCAGTTTTGATATATCCTATTTCTTTTTAATGTATTAGTATTTTTTCCTATATTAAATAAAAAAAAAAATAACGAATTAGTGTATTCGTAAACGTTTAGGTAACATCCCGCTCTGGTGGGCAAAAGCGGAACTAAATAGCCAATCTGTGTTGCCAGTTTTACGAAATTAACCGCGACACTAGCGCCATTCATAGGCCAGATTAGTTGATGACTTCTTTAGCAGTTAAATCTAATTGTAATAACAACTGTATGTAGATATTTCTATACTATTAAATCATTTATGTACATTAGAATTTTTTATAATAAAATTATGGGATTACGAAGTATTTTATCAAGTTAATCGGTACTTTTTACGGCTTTGTAATCACTAAATCATTTACTCTTAGTGTCTAAAAAAATGTTTTAGTGTTTATGATTGACTGATCACTTTGCCTTTAAATGAAGAGCCCTCATTTAAGAAAAGTACCGATTTTTTTTTAAATTTTGTAAATATTCAATTGTAAATTATGTAAACTATAATATATTCTATAGAGAAAAATGTTTAATAACGTAGTTATTATATTAAATAATAAGCCGTCTTATGAAATCTTTTGCATAATTCGATATTTATTATATTAAAAAGTTATATAGCCTTATTAAGAATCTAAAAATTGCGGGAAAATATGTAACTAAATTAAATGCGATTAGTACGCTCTCTCTTTTTTATGTTTTCTATATTCTTAGTTGGCTTGTAATTGTAAGTTTTGTATATTTAAAACATGGCGAATTAAATAGTTAGACATATTATTTCTCTAATAAAGAACTATGAATAAACGAGTACTTCATTTCATATATCCTTCCGCTAATTTAAGTCCTTTTCTCTTTACCACCCTTTTCTTATAAGGAGAGGATGGAAACGGGAAGTGGATTTGACGGTAGAGGAGATGCATCGGAAGGGGAAATATCCACTTTATGTGCATCTCCTCCTCTGTCGGATAAGGGTAGGCAACGCATCTGCACTTGCGGATGTCTATGGGCAGCGGTCGCTTCGCCATTTTGGAGGATTCAGGTGGCCGCTTGCTCGTTTGTCACATTATGTTATATATAAAAAAAAATATTCATGTAGTGATCGAATGTTACCGACTTATCGGCAACTGCAAAGTCTGTGTGTGGCAACCTTGACACACCCGCTGTTAAGAGACCGTGTATGTCTACCCTTAATTGACACTCTGACAATAAGTAAAGAATGATTATAATAAAAAGAAATACTACGACCTTAGACTTTGGGATAACAAAGTAGAGGAGAATCTGAGGACCTCACACGAAAATTTTCGTGTAATAACAAAGTAATCGTATCGCCAAATTTTACGTGACAACTTCTTGTTACGCTACGCAAATGCATCGTTTGCGAAATATTTCTTTTCCCGATATAACATACAGACACTCCAATTTTATTATATGTATGTACAACGCCCCTATTGGACATAAAGTACACTAATCTCATTAGAATTTTGTCGATCTTATACGAATACTTTTTTGAACATTTTAGTGTTAGACCCACTAAAGTAACACTAGTACTCAAAATTATTAGGAAATCATAGGAAAGGGAAATTTGTATGTGTGTCCCCTCCTCTGTTGCACCATTATTATTAGCAGCCGCCTTATTGTTTCCTATCTTATAATGTCAAAAAATATCACAATTATTGAGAGAAAAGGGCACCAATAAAATGTATTCTACAAGTGAAAACAGTCAATTACTCGTATTAATAATGTTTACTAGTAATAAAATTACATTTTTGTTCACAGGTTGAATTCTCTCCTTGGGTGAACAAAGTTTCTCTAGACGCCTACTTCAGTACATACTTCGGTTTTCGTGTCATTTTCGTTCATTTAGTTCCATGCACATCACTGGTAGTATTAAATGTGCTACTTTTTAAAGCTATGAGACAAGCGCAAATGAACCGTCGTAGACTATTCAAAGAGAATCCTAAAAACGAATGTAAGAAACTCCGAGATTCAAACTGCACTACTCTCATGTTAATCGTAGTTGTAACCGTTTTCTTAGTAGTCGAAATACCGTTAGCAGTTGTAACTATATTGCATATAATATCGAGTACTATAGTTGAATTTTTAGACTATCGTATCGCTAACATACTCATATTGATAACGAATTTCTTTATTATGGCATCTTATCCGATTAATTTTGCGATATATTGCGGTATGTCGAGACAATTTCGAGAGACGTTTAAAGAGTTATTTATAAGGAGCGTCGTTGCTAGCAGAAATGGTGCTTCAAGTAGATATTCTCTGGTCAACGGTCCCAGAACTTGTACCAATGAAACTGTGCTATAAGTAAAAATATTTGAAATAACCGTTTCTATTTAATACTTGACAACGATTTGAAAAATATTGATACTTATGAAGGCCAGCGAGAAGCGGTTAATACCGAATAATTGGTCCTTCGAGCCGGATATACTTGAAATTTATTTAAAAACAGCACAGATAAACATAAATTATTTAAAATTTAATTATTAATTTCAGCCAGTAATGGTTCTGAAAGTAGGTTAAACTTGTGAGTTATTATTTTATAAAGTAGATGGTTCTTGTTTTTTACTGAAAAGGGAACGAATAGGTAATTTAACAATGTTATGTTAGGAGAATCTTTAATAATAGTTTGAACCAATATTGTCTTTATGTAAACAAAATGTAATTATGATTGTAATGTATTTTTATATGAAAATATCAACGAAATTTTAAAATTGTAAGAGATTATTAAGGTTTTAATACTGTTTTGATTGAAATAAAAAAAAGTAATTTAGTTAGATTCGAGCGAGTGGTATGAAACCTGCATGAAAACTGCAAAGCACTTAAAAATAATTATTTTGTTATTATAATGTTCGTAAGTTACGGGTTTCTTACCACGATTGGGTTGTTTTAGCACCCGATATTTCGGCACAGTTGCATGCGTCATGTTCACGGGCTGACTGAAGTGATGCGGTAGTGTGAAAAAAAATGAACTTACGAACATTATAATTGTGAAAACCACGACAGTTTAAATATAATTATTTTGTAGTAATTTATTATTCTTTCACTTTTCGTGTACTTTTGTCCACGTGTTATTTACTTATCTTTTTATAACTAAATATATAGATATTGTAAATGTTTAAATTATTAAATATGTTGATTTAAATTTTCTTATAAACTCTAACAAATTCCTATTTATTTATTTGTACTAATGTATAACGTTTTATTTTTTAAACAATTCTGTAAATAATAACAAGAATATAGTCATTTACTAATTGTATAAAAGTTATTGTCAAACAAAATATCGTAAAACGTGAGCCTATATTTAGCTAAATTATTGAATAACATGTAATATCAATTAGTTTAGAAAATATAAATTATTGGGTTATTTTGAGTTTTATTTCACTATCCACATTTATTTTAATTATACAAATTCATCAGAAATCTATACTATTATAATAAAGCGTAAACACACACTTCTTTGTTGCCTTAGATGTTGCAATTACATCATATTTTTGAATAATTCTTTTTAATATAAAGCTCTACACTTACGTCACGCTTTAGGCTATATATTTCACGCCATTAAACTTAGGGGGTAAATATTTTGGATAAAAACCCTAATGTAGGAAAGAGACCATAAGTTGCTGCCAACATCAAGGAAGCAAGATTGCCAAGGTTTGTCATGTTATGTCATTTTGACATTTGCTATCAATAAGTTAATAAAATTTTCATAATTTCATGCGGATGAAGCCGCACGCGAACAGCTAGTTATGAAACAAAACAAACTTCTATACATTTACTAATTGATCATTAACTTTCCCTAATCTCTATGTAGGTTGGCATATTATAACACTCCGCCGTCATCTGATTTCACTGTCTAAGAGTGAGTGACCCTTTGACTCAATCGCACAACTGTTGCTATT